TATTCAGTAACCTTTTACCACACAGGCTGCTTTATAATCAAGTTTGTATAGGAAGAAGCCTATACATATTGCTATTTTTTTAAAAATAACATCCTGAATCTCAGGAATGTAAACCAAGCTGGAGGATGTGAGAATATATATATTTCTTGTGTCTAAAGGTATATTTATCCAACATAACAAGTGACAAAAGCTTAGAATGTACCTCATAAAGGTTTTTGTTCAAATGTATAACCATATCGTGTTACCTTAACCAACTGAAGAGAAAAGAAAGAGTTTAAGTCCACTACCCACTAACTCTAAGATTTAGTTCCTCATCCATAATGACCAAAAAAAGTCAGAAAAAATCCAATTCAGACTGATGAAAAATGACTATAGTTGGTGCTCCAAATTTTAAATGCATACTCAACAAAATTTATGAAATGTCATTTAATAGCACATTGCTCTTGTATTAAAGGGATTATCTGATCACCTACTGCTTTTAAGAGCTCTATTTCTTTGGAAAGATCTAGAGATTTCTTTGGCCACACTCGAACATTCTAAATATAAAGTTTACACACAATGCATTTAGAACAGAATGTAAGGTCTGCCAAGTTAGCAATTACATATTAAACTTTCAGCCTTTGCCATAAGGATGCACATCCATGCACATTTGCTGTGATTTATACATAATACATGCACATCACATGCATATTTTTTCTCTTATACATCTCTTAACTTGGCCCACACTTTCATATAAATATATAAATACACATACATGCAGGGAAACAAAGTCAAGAATGATCAGATTAGATGTCCCTCTCAAGCTCATTGAGTTACAGTTGTTTGCTAGAGAAATTATTTGTATGGTGTTCCTTGTTCAGTTGTAGGTTACAGAAGGTAAGAATTTATGGGCTATTTTGATATGTGTATCATGTCTTCCAACTAGATGGTATTCTTCTCAGTCTCTGGGACTGAAGTGTTAGGCACATGCTGGTGGGAGATCGGCTTTGTCACAAGTATCGAGGTTCATAACCTCATCCCATGCTAGTTACAAGCTAACTGTAACTAACTAACGCCCTGAGCTTCAGCTTCCTTACTAGTAAAACGTGTTAAGATACCCACAAACTTGGTGGCTGCAAGGCACCTATACAGAGCTATCTCCCTAGACTGTTTAATGAATATTTGCTCATTAATTGATAAACTTATCTCAGAAAAGGTCTGGACTGACTGCCAACCATTACTTTTACAGACTTGCCTGTTTTACAGCTATATAGACAGGTGTTCAAGAATGTATGAAATTAAAATAGAAATAGGAAAGCTTTTTAGTCCATTTTGCTAATTAATATGTCAGAGCTCATAAAGAAGAACTCATCGGCTTTCTTCAGTACTGCATCATCTTAAAGAGCTGGGTCAGCAAATACCTCCGCAGACAGTCAATACATATTAAAACAGCTCCAAGCAGTAAATCAAAACAAAAAAATTAAGACATAGTAAAAAAGTAAAATTTATAAGTCCTTTCTGACTAAAATGTGGAGGAGCTTTATGCTATTAGTTTAGGTGCCAGCTCAGTATCTAGGGGAAAGAAAAGAAATGATTCCTTCGCAGATATAGTTTAGGAGGCTGTATAGTCAAAATTAAAGCATAATTTAAAAAAAGCTATGCCAAATTTGATGTCATTTTCTTTGGATTCTAATGTTCCCTCAGAATACTGGTATCATTAAAAATTGCTTTCATTGCTTAAAATATACATATTGCTGAAGTTTTTTTTTTAACCCCCTGCATTTACTAAAATTTGGATTTTGTCAAAATTTTGTCAATTAACAAGATAAGGACAGACACATTTTTTATTTTTAAGGCTCTCTGAAACTAGCGATTTTTCTTAAAGGAACCCACTAAAAGGCATTTTGTTCCTAACCTCTCTGGGTAGGTCTCACCACTCCAGAGACATTAATTGCTCTCATAGCTGGAGGAGGACCGTACAAGATTGACAACAGAACATCCTGCCAGATATCCCACCTAAGGCATGAGCCGCTACGCACTCAGGGGAACCCCTGAGGTAGGTCATTGGAAAAATCTCAAGAATACTGAATTGATTCCAGAAGGGGTAATTTTAGGACTACATTTTAGGTCGAAAATATTAGAAAGATTTATCTTACCTGAGCCTTTGATTTAATCTGAGCTTTGAAGAACCAACCATTTAAAAATTAAGCCAAGGAAAGGGTGCCAAAAATCTTGTCACAAATTTGGGAGGTACCCAAGCCAGACCAACAGATGGAACTTGGCACGAAATGGCTCTCTACACACTAAGTAGCTGACTCAGAAGAAACTTTAACTCAGATGAATTTATTAAAATGTTGAATATCACCCCAAATAAGAAGATGGATGATAGATTCAGGTCAGCACATACAATTTAATTTAACTTCCTGATGGTCTTGGATCGTATGAAAGCTGCCCACATTGCTATAATTAAAAAGAGACAGAGGGAGATACTCTTCCTTTTTAGCAAAGAGATATCACCTTTTCACTTAAATATTCTGGAGGAAAGATTTGGGGAAGGAAAAGGTAAAATGAAAAGACAATGAATGATCTCTTTTAACATTGGCAAGAGTATGACCATGGAACATTAGACATTATAGTCCTGCTGGTAACTTGCTTACTGGTCAAAGACAATACCACACTGAGACTACAGTTATATATTGGGTGAATTTTCAAGATGACTTGAGTAAATGAAAGGTGTTACCAGTAGCAAAAGGATCCTTAATCCTCTTTTTCCATCACGGCCCCCTCCTCTGAAACTGCTCTGCCTAAGTGCTACACGTGTAGGGGAGTTGCAGGTTACATGAGGGATGAGTTTTTTGAGGATCGTTATAATTCAAGATGAATTTTCTAAAACAAATAAATATAAAAAATGGAAGAGGGTATATTCTTGAGTATATAAATTTATAAACTTAGTTGTAGATTTTTCTTTAATGCTGCTTTATATTTTCTCAGGATGGTCTCTACTGTTTTAGAGTGCTCTCACTTAATATAACTCTAGAGTATAGAATTTTAGGTAATTGGTTAGCCATCTATATTGGGTTTTCTCATACGCCACTTTTGCTCCAGAGTGAGCTATGTTCTGGTTGTTCTCAGCATTTCCACTGATTCCATAGGTGGCCAGTGAAAAGCTCAATGATACCGTAATAAGGTTAGACGAGGACTTGGAAATGTAAAATGGTGAATGTTGTACTAGCAGTTCATTAAGCATCAGAAATCTTTAAAACACCTGATATATTTAAAGCAGCATGGTTCATATTATATAAAAGTTAACCTGACAGGTTTAAAATTATGCCATATTTGTCATTTTTTTTCAATTTGGAAATTATTTCAAGTTTCATACTTTGGGTAATTCTTTTTTACTGTGTTTTATATCACACTATATAAAAGCATATCATTCAACTTAGTAACATACTGTAGTGATATGCAAAGGTAACAATGTTCTCATTTTAAAAGAGGACCATTAACTTTTAGTCACTGGCTGACAGAAACTTGTTTGGAAATTAAGATCAGAATAAGATTAGATTTTCTAGAAAAAAGTCAGAAAGTTTATTTGCTCATTTTAAAAAAACCAGTTTGATAAACAGTCTTAAAAACTGGTTTTTGGGTGTGCATGTGTTTTTTGTTTTTTTTTTTTTTTTTTTAAAAACCTTGAAGCCCATCCCAGTACATAGAAAGGCTTTAATCTTCAAGTCTTAATCTGTGTAACAGAACTAACGATAAGCAGTACCATTTAGGATGCACTGAAGATGAAAATAATATAGGCTATCCTTGGGGTTCCTTGGTCACGAGAACTTCCTTTTCAGGCTCTTAAAAATATTTCCAGTAGTAGAGAATTTAAAGGACAAGGATGATGGGGGAAAGCAACACTGCAGTTTATCGCTCTCAGAGAAATCTTCTCCTTCACGGTGATCTAACCTCTTAGGCTCTTTATTTGGAGAAGCAGAAAAGAAAAAAAAAAAATCTAAGAGTTGTGAACCAGCCCTTCCCTGCTGTTCTCACAAGAGAAACTGGAGAAAGAGGAAAAGAAAAAAAAATCATAATCTTGCCTTGGAACATGATGGAAGTAATGAGGCATCAAGGCCACTTACTGCTGGAAACATAATTAGCACATAAACACAGGAGACACTTGGTGACTGGAAAGACTTTCTTTGTTTCAGAAACAGGGGGATGTCAACAAATTGTAGCTCTTCTGTTATTTGGAGTGGCAAACCTGAGAGTAACATGGATACTCTTCCCCAAATAATACACCCGTAGAGGAAAGGGATCACTGTAGTATTTGCAAGCTTGGTAGCTCTAAGTGTTTTCAACTAGTGTGAAAAAAAACAACAACAACAATGAAGGACAAGGGGAGAGAAGAAAAACCACTTGGCAATGAAGGAAAAGCTTGGATTTTCAACTGGAAGGTATCTCCCACATAACAGAGAAAGACCCAGGAAACTCACAGAAATCCTTGTGGACTCTCCAGAGAACCTCTAGAAATGAGGGAGCTCATTCCTAAGTCTAAAGAAAGATAAAATGGCCATCGTGGGTGTGATCTTCTTTGATGACAAGCAAAAAAACTATTCCTTTTTTGAGGAGAAATGACCATACTTTTCTCGTTCTGGAGCTCTTTGTTCTGCCACTGTAATGTGAAAGTCATCATGGGAAAGAGTTTCAAACTTTCTTGGATTTTCCTTATAATTCTTCCTTGTTGTTGTTTTAAGTGTTCAGCTGGCAAACAGGTTTAAGATTTTTGGTTTTATAATTATTAGTTTTTGGAAACCTTTATCCTTTCCTCTCAAAGATTTTGAGTCAGCATACATTATGCCACTATACACACAGCCAAGCAATAATTCATCTTTGTGGAAGTCAGAGACATCTCATGTATTAATTAGCAAGCCTTTCAGTGACTAGTGGATGGAAATAGGTTCCAACTGCTACTCGAACACAGCCAGCAATTTCCAGGAAGGAGAATATAAAGTCAGTTACAAGGAGTTTCTTACCCGATTTGTGAGCAGCCAATGAGTGGACTTTGCTTTCATCTGACACTGAGAAGAAATAAAAGAGACAAGGATCAGGCCTGCTTGTAAATCAGCCATTTTTTGAACAATAAACTGAAATAGATTCATAAGAAGTTAAATCTTTTACTGGAAAAAATTTGAGAAAAAAACTGTTCCCTGGCCTACCTGGGGCACCTCATATCTTTTGGTAGATATTTAAAAGGCAACTATGAAGATACATCTCTCTCACTCTCTCTCTCTCTCTCTCTATATATATAAAATATTTATATATTATATATTTATTATATACACACCTTAGATTGTCTCTGAATATAATTTTATTTTCTTTTAATTTTCAGTACCTTCAGCCCTGTTAATTAGGTTATTGTTTTCATGCCTGCGAAAGGAGAAAGTAAACTCCTGGGGAGATGTGTAATATATAATAAAATTTTTTGAGTGTCATATATATATTTACATATATATGTGTATATTCAATACTCAAGGACTAGACTTCTATATCTGGAGTAAAAGGGAACAGATTTACAATCTCTCTTGAAAAAAAATTAAATACATAAAACAGGAAACAGTGGCAATCCAGGGATTAGACATTAGGCAGCAGAGATGAAGCAAGTGAGGTAAATCCTGTAACTGCTCCAGTTTATTGCCTGGAGAAAGTGTCCAGATTGTGGTATAGGGAGGGAAACAGAGCAGAGCCTTGTGACACCCCAGCCTGAGCACATGGACCTGGATGTCCAGGGAAGATAAGGCAAATGCCAGTTGCAGGCAGAGAACCGGAGAGGAAAGACTTACCCAGAACTCTTGCTGAGATCTGCTGAAGATCTCCGTATTTAGCGGAATATACTGATTATCACACACATGTGAAGAAACTGCCCAAGACCTGGGGAAGAACTACCCAAAAGTATAATGGGAAGAGTGTCTGAAGTTCACACAGGGCTGCGAATCGTGCCTAGTCCTAATAGCCAGAGTAAAGATTCATAATTCAGGGCCATGGAGAAGAAGATGAAGAACCCTGCTTCAGTAGTGGGGAAAAAAAAAAAAAATCAACCCTAGATTAACATGGCTCTGATGAAATATGCAAATTGTTGAAAGTCACGAGTCACCAAAGCTTATGTAGGAAGAAATAGAATATCTGAACGGCCCTATAGTTTTTGTTGTTGTTGTTTTTAATGAATTTGTAGTTAAAACTTCCCCCACCACACACACACACACACACACACACACACACACACACACACACACAACTCTAGGCCCAGAAGACTTCACTGGTGAATTCTACCACACATTTAAGGAAGAAATCACACCAATCCTCAGAAATTCTTTCAGGAAATTCAGAGGAGGGAATACTTCTCAGCTCATTCTAGGAGGCTGGTATGGTGCTGATACCAATATTACACAATGACGCTATATGAAAGCTATTATCCAACATCTCTCAAAAATACAGATGTGGAGTTCTTAATCCTTAAGATCTCTGCATGGGTTATCACTTCAATATCCAACAACAGTTGTTCATTATTTGCTATGTGCCACTGGCTATGTTGGTCTATAAAAACCTGGTGCTCAAGGATTGAGCAATGAGAAGTGAACTCTGCTGACAAAGAAGACCCCCTCCACTTTCCCTAACACTAGAGGCCTCTGAGGAGCATGTCCCTCCTTCCTTTGTCTGCACCATTCGGTCGTATTTCACCAACCCGGTTATTATACACAGATCTTCCCACTATTTATTTTCTAGACAATAACACTACTTGTCTTGTGATTCTCCTACTATTTTATTAACTTCTTAAAAATCTTATCAGACTGGGACGCCTGGGTGGCTCAGTTAGTTGGACGACTGCCTTGGGCTCAGGTCATGATCCCAGAGTTCCCGGATCGAGTCCCGCATCAGGCTCCCAGCTCCATGGGGAGTCTGCTTCTCCCTCTGACCTTCTCCTTGCTCATGCTCTCTCTCATTGTCTCTTTCTCAAATAAATAAATAAAAATCTTTAAAACAAACAAACAAACAAAAAATCTTATCAGACTTTTCTTCATATTTCTAGTTGGATATGTCAGTCCATACTCATCAGGCTCCAATTGTGGGCCAAATTCTGGCTTTTTCATGTCTAAAAAAAATTTACAGTAGAATCTACAGTACATATAGAAAAGTACTAGAAAACAATGATGGTTTAAAAATAGTAACACTAGTGGCTAATACTTATACAGCACTTGTAATGTGTAGGTTCTGTCCTATGTACTTTAGGGCTAATAATTCACTTAATCTTCACGATGACTATAAAGATGGGTACTATTATTATCTTTACTTCACAGATAAAAAAAACTGAAGCATGCCTCCAATGTGGAGGATCCAGAACTTAAATGTTGCACTCTTAACCACTCCACTATACTGGTGATAAGTCATAGAAGAATCGGTTATATATTCTTTGAATCATCAGTTGCATGAATAGAAGAAGATACTTGACAAAAACTTACATGTTAAGAAAACTATTATCCTTTTATTTGAATATATGTTATTAATAGAAATCTTTCTGCGGTGATAAAAATCAACAAGCGTTAGCAATAATTTTGTTTAATATGTTTGGAAATTTAGCATTCTAATGGGTTTGAGCTAAAATATTCACCCCCACTTCACAAGTGAGAAATCATCTGGGTTAAAATTCTGACTTGGAAACTTACTAGTCATATGCAATTTATCTGAGCTCCCTGAGCCCCAATATCATCATATATAAAATGAGGATAATATTGCTTCCTCCATAGGCCTGTAGTGAAGATTACATGTGTAAGTTTATGCAAAGTACTTAGAAGATCATTTAGTAAGTGCTTAATAAATACAGACTACTATCATCATTATTAAGCGGAACCTATAATAGAAAGGAAGAATAACATGCCAGCTAATAAAGAGATGATATGAGTTGAATGTCAGCTTTACCAGGCAAGTTACTAAGTTGTTTTCAACCTTAGTTTCCCTGTGTAAAAGATTTAGATAAAAACACCCCATGAAGAGATGTGGGAGTCAATGAAAAAAATGTACGAAAGCATCGAGCACTGTGGGCCAGGTACATATTTCTCAATAAATGAAAACTTTTGATAAATAAAAACTGTGAGAGTGGTAAAGGTTGTGCATTTGATAATGGTGGTGGTGTTTATGATTTCACTTCCTGGGATTATAGAGGGACAGAGGGGGAAAACACTTGAGAGAATACAATGCCTTGGGGCAGATGTTTTGGAATTGTTATCTCATGGATAATCCAACACCCACAGCAGGGTTAACCTCTCAGTTTACCTGTCTCCTAGTTCATCTTGTAGTGGAAGAAAGGCAAAGGAAATATGGTTTTCAGACTATATGGTCTTATTATGTGCAGTTATTCTGGAAAAGGGATTCATACAAAGATTTTATTATTTTGCATTTTTCTTTTTTCTTTGACAGACCTAAGTTATCCCATTAAATCTAAGCCAATTTAAGTATTGCAAATTCCTCAACCATATTAGGTTAAACATGGTACTTCCTTAACTTTTTGACTGCACACTCTCTATTATTCTAAGTGGGAATACTTATCATTATTTTAATTGACAATTTGAAATTCTTTAGAGCACTATTTCAAAAAACAGTATAGAAAATCCAAATGGGTGATAGGCATAAAAATTAGGGGTCTTTCTCCAAAATATTCAGTGACACAGATGTCTATCTTTGGGACAGAAGATAAATGAATAAACATAATGGAAAAGAGAAGGGACTGTAATGACTTATTTAATAGAATACACTTTATTTAAAAGGTTAAATTGGGAACAATCATCTTTTATGCACATGCTTAGTGCTGGGAAGTGATTTAAATAAGAGTAGCAAATGAGAAAATGAGGTAAAATTATACACACTACCAGCAGTTTTTTAAAAAATGACAAGTGTTATAATTAATACTCAACTTCCTTTATAACTCAGATTACCTTTGAGCTACTCTAAGGTTATCTCTTGGGACTGGAGTTTAAGTCTACTCATTTCACTGCATAATATTTGGATAGCACAGCGATTGGAATAGTAGCAGTAGGAATATGACAGGTGTGTCATTTCAGACTAAAACCTTATTTATAAGAGATTGAAAAAATGAGTGGAATGGGTGTTGTAAAGGTCTTCGGTTCTAAAATGGTGAGGCACCAAATGCATCTAGTCAGAGAGTGTTGATGGATCAAGACTCAAAATTTCTTGTTCTGGTTCTGATGACGGATTCTTTTTTCTGTTTGTTCATTCTTTTCTTTTCTTTTGTATTTCTTTTCTTTTTTCTTTTTCAAGTTTCCAGAGCCTATTATATTCCTTTTCTTATCCTTCAGTTTTATCCAAGGACAGGTACTACTTGCTCTTGATTACTTAAAGGGCTATTACAGGAATCAAAGCATTATCAGTGAAATGTGGAAACCTTCTGAAAATGAAATTCATGGACATTTTTAGTGTAACTGTTATTAAATACTTAGAGAGCACTGGGGCTTGCTCTTCTTATCTCTGAATTTATTTGGATAATGGGATTTCTGTACTAAGCTCATGCTTCTTGGCCTTCAACTCAAGATTGATGGACACTGATTTAAGTCTTGTAAAGTGCTTTATAAGGAGGACACTCTTGGGTTTGGATGTTTGTTAATTCCCTGGTGCATCCTCTCGTTCATGAAGACTTGCTTGGGAAAACAGAGCAGCCTGATGGCCTCTGTTTCTAGCTGTCTTTGCTGAGGTCTTTTGAAGCTAATTAGAATTGCTCAAAACTTATACCAACTTTTTTAAAACTGTGGATAAACACGCAGTGTCTTTTGATTTAATCTCAACCAGGATCATTGTTAGAATTGAGAGAAACCATAAACTCAGAAAATATGGGGAGAAAAATCTGTGAAAAAGATGGCATTCTGAGAGCTTATTAGCAGCAAACATTAAAGTGCTTATATACATACATTGGATTCCCAGTAGGATACATTTATACTAGTACAGTGATCACTTAGAATTCCTATTTTATTCTTTTGTCAAGCTTTCTCATACACTTCAAATGCATTCTCACTGG